GCACTGAGGCTGGCACGTTCCCTGAGTTTTTCCAGCAAGATGGTGCACCACCACATTATGGGTGTCAGGTCCGAGCATTCCTAGATGAACAGTTTCCTGGAAAGTGGATTTGTCGTCGTGGGCCAGTTGAATGGCCCCCAAGGTCTACTTTCCAGGACACCGACAGGCGGGGTTCCAGTCGGGCTTGACTGCGCCGGGGCGAGGGAAGAGGAGTCATTAGGGAGGTCCCCGAGGGGTCCCACTCGAGCTCCTCCTCCTCCAAGGAGGAAGGAGCGGTGGTTGGTCTGTCCGGGACCTCCTCGGGGACTGGGACTAGGGCTTGGGGAACTGGAGTCAGGGCCTCCAGTGAGGCAGCAGGCGTGGCCGCAGGCGGTGCAGCCAGAGCCGCTGTCAGGACGGGAACAGGCGGGTCAGGAGCAGGCGGGTCCGGAGCAGGCTGGACCAACGAACAGGGCTGGACGGGCCGAACAGGCAGAGCCGCGGGCACAGCGGCGACCTCAGGCAGAGCCGCGGGCAGAGCGGACGTGCGGCCAGCAGGGGGCGGCGCAGCAGGCACCTCGGTCGCGCGGCCAGCAGGGGGCGGCACAGCAGGCACAGCAGGCACCTCGGGCGCGGGGCCAGCTGGGGGCGCTGCAGCAGCCACTGCTCCAACAGAAGCCTCGTGTGCAGTAGCAGGAGGCGCGGTAGCTTCAGGCAGGAGGGTGGCAGGACAGGCGAGACAGGCAGATCAGGCACCGGCAGGACAGGCGAGACAGGCAGATCAGGCGCCGGCAGGACAGGCGAGACAGGCAGATCAGGAGGGGGCGCCTCGGCAGGCGCTTCGGGCGTGTGGCCAGCAGGGAGCACCTCGGCGGGCACCGCCTTCCCGTGGCCAGCAGGGGGCGCCTCGGCAGGCGCCTCGGCCGTGCGGCTAGTAGGGGGCGCCACGGGCAGAGCGGCTTCCTCCGCTGGCGCCTCGGCCGTGCGGCCAGCAGGGGGCGCCCCAGTGGGCGCCGCCATCACGCGGCCAGCAGGGGGCGCATCTGCGGCCACCTCGGGCAGTGCCGCAGGCAGAGCGGTGGCAGCTGCAGGAGGCGGTGCAGCTGGAGCTGCGGGCAGGACGGGAACAGGCTGGTTAGGAGCAGGCTGGACCGACGAGCAGGGCTGGACGGGCAGAGAGGCGGCCTCAACAGGGTGCACCTCAGCAGGTACCCCGGGCGTAGCGGCGACGGCAGCTGCAGCAGGGATTGCCGCGGGCAGAGAGGCGGCAGCGGCTGCAGGCGGTGACAAAGGGGCTGCTTCTCGCTTACTGACCAATTCGCTTAATGACCTAGTCGTAGGTACAGTACTGGCTCGTTAAGTTAGGAGTGTCTATTATTTTTATTTATTGCTTTGCTGCATTTTTATCTGTTTTTATGCTGTGTGCTTTCTGATTTTTACTGTGTGTTATGTGATTCTTATTGAGTGTTGTAAGGTGTCCTTGAATGCTTTGAAAGGTGCATAAAAATTTAATGAATTATTATTATTATTGTTGTTGTTTTATTATTATTATTATTATTATTATTATTATTAACTTGGATAAAGGAGGCCCAAGGACTGAAGAATTATAAATAATTACAAAATACCAAATAGTGTGTACATGTATCTGATTATCTTGACTGATGCCATCATATTATAATTAAATACAAATTTGAACAAAAAAATAGCTCAACACTGAGTACTGTTTTTATACTCTTATCTGGTTTTCTTTTTCTAATGGCTGTAGTAGAAATTGTTTTATTTCCATAAAATATATACTAATTTATGCCCTTTTTAATTTATTCTGTGTCTAGGTGACACTACACACTGGACTGCCTGTCCCTGATTTCTACCTTCCTGGAGATCCAGAACCTCCTGAATCAGTGTGTTAACCAGTCTGGTGACCTAGACCTCCACTCTGGTGTGTTTGTGCTATTATTCTTTCTGAATTTACATGCCAGTTGAACTCCTGCTCCTACCTCCCTCCAAATACAAATAATTTTTTCTCATAAATCCCACAAAGTTGTTAATTAGCTATTTATCAGCTCTGGTTATAATTCAGACCTACCAAAGTAAGTATCTTATTATCCAGTAGAAAATAGAATAGTTTATTAAAAATTATAAGACATTTTAAATGTATTAAAAATAGTTGAATTTTTTGTTAATCTGTTGTTGACTAATGTTCACATCCTAATTCTCTTACCTAAAGCTAAATTACTGTTTCATTTTCCAGATTCCCTGAGACTCCTGAACTGAAATAGTCCCAGCAGAAGATGAACATGAGTTTGAGAGAAGGGTAGTCATACTGTAATTAGAAATACTGTAATTGATCCTTATCAAAAACATCAAGTATTTTCTATTCAGTATTGTAGTGCTGTATACATTCAGTGAATTTCATTGTGTCATTACATCCATTAAATATGTTTAATTTTTGTTTTTTCAACATCTTTTCCTCCATAAAAAAAGTTTAAGATATGATGTTGGATTTTTTATAAGAACAATAAAGTTCTACCTACTGCATTTGGCTTAAAATTCTTTACTATGTTTATTATATATTTGTACATGCACAGTATATATACTGCATATATATGCATATTATTTGTATATACAATGTGCTGTATATATACAGTACTATGCAAAATGTTTATAGCTGTATATCTGGGTACTAAATGTACTGTACATTTGCCCAGAAAAAAATAACACAGTTTAAAATATATGCAAATGAACAGTATCACAATAAAAAATAACAAGAATTTGACAAAAATACTAAAATAGTGTTACATCAACATGAAGATCACTTAAACATAATTTTCTTTTACCACAAGTCTTTTGCATAGTACTGTATATATATACTAAGACTTTTTCACATAGTGAAACCATTAACACTGACCATTAACAATTTTCATTTAGTTTGGTCTAGTTTTTGTATGAGTAAAGAGCAAAATTTATTTAATAAGCTAATGCTGATTTTATTCATATTTATTAGAGAATATTCTTGCCAGAAAATGATAAAGTCAAGTTAATGCTATGAATTATTAGAAATGATGCTGTTTGTTCTGATAATGGTCTTTCCTTTTAAATATGACTTCTTTGATTTTCATGTATCCACCTACTGTTCAGCCTTTCTTGAAAACTTGATGAATACAATATTAGAAGTATACAAAGTGTATGCCCTCATCAATCCGTATAAAACTTTTCTCCCTTGCATACCATAAACTTACAATCTCTGAAGCTACTGTAGCAAGAGAAGCCTCCTTAGGGGTCACAACTGCTGAAATAAAATATTTCTTTTATGTAAGTCAACGAGGATAAATTCATTTTTGGTCAAAGCTGCAGTAATTTCTTTTACTGCACAAATGAAGTTTGGCATAGCACTAATTAAAAAACTCTCACAAACACAGACGCTTTTGTGAATAGCAAAAATGAATTGATTTGAATATATTTCTTTTATTGTAGAACAGATGCATGTGTATTGATATAATTTGATATAATTTTATAAATAAAATCTCCTTGACTATTAATTCACACCCTAAAGTATACAGGACTGAACATAAAAATGGATAAGAATAAGAACTATTAATCAAATACTGCTTCAACAATCCAGCTTATTTAGAATAAAATGTTGTTGCTGGACAACATAGTTCTGTCAAAGCTTCTGCTGGAAATGGCTGTTTTTATGGTCATTTAAAAGGTATTAGTGTCTTAATATTGTTTTAAAGAATAGTCCAACTGGTGATGTGGTGTTTTATATTTCTATAATTTTATGTAACAATGCTTTGGATAGGTTATATTTATTATTATATTATTAGTTTGTTTTCTGGCTTAAACTGTTATTTTAAAGATAACATTTTTAAGTGTAAAAATATGATAAATTCTGGTGTTTTCTTCAGCAACATATTCATTCAATAAACTCATTCAAATGAAACTGATCTCTTGTTTTATTTATTTATTTGTTTTTAAACCAGTGTAATCATATGAGTAAAAACATAAAAACCTTGGTGGCATTAGACATGGACAGAGCGGGAGAAAAAACAGTGGCGACACACCCATAGAGGTCTATTGTAAGAAATGGGGGAGGCATTTCTGGCCAGCTTCTGAGTAATGGGGAAAATGAACAGTTCCAAACATTGGCTGTATCTGAATTCAGGGGCTGCAGTCTCCAAAGGAAGGAGTCTATGAAGATGTAGCAAAAGAAGGATGCATTTCTAGACCTCATTTGAAGGAGCCTTCAAAATGGGACACCTTTGTTGCCTCTCTCACCATGTGTGATGTTCACCACAAATGAATTGGAAAACAACCCATAAGCATTCTGGGTTGTTCCCTGCAATTTGCCCATAGCCTCCAGGATACCCACTCTGTAAATAATTGCTGTAAAAATATGGCCAAATTCTAACAGTAATTTACTGTTTTTCCAGAATATGGTAAAATTCTGTACAATCTGATGCTTTTGTGGGGCTAAAAAAGGCTGACTGCTAACAGCAGACTACCGTACAATTTCACGGTATAATGCAGTATTTTTCCATGTGAGGAGTGAGCCACATGCCACATGCCCTTATAGTTATTTCCAGCATCATTCGTCTTCTTTTATTGAATCAACAAAAAATGTAAGCAGCATTGTATTGAGAGATTGAAACTGTATTTGTGAGTCTGGTTACCCAGTTTGTGACATAATTTAAGATTACTGAAACGAGGCTGAGCTTGGTGTCTGATTAGAATTAGCTGACACGTGTTCGGAGCAAATACTGGGAGTAAGTTGTGGTTTGAAATGTTTAATGTCATGCGTGAACTTTATAATTTAATTTAATTTATTTTATTGTACCTATGTAGAGTTTGTGGTCAGGGTACAGTATTACTACAGAAGCCAGTAAAGAATTTAGCTAAGCTAATAGCTTCTCTGCAAGTAGCAGGTTACTCTGCAGCACACATTAATTAGCAGCAGCAGGTAGTGCACAAGAGTGAATATTCAGATATTTTGTTTTCAGGGGTTGAAAGTTTAAATAATTCAAACACAAAGTTCGGTAAACCATTTGCATATCTAGTTTTCGTTTGATTTTGCGTTTATAGTGCATTTATGGTATTTAAGTGAGTATTTGTGCATCTTGCAATGAGCATACAAAAATGGTAAGGTGCAACATTTGTTCTAAGACCTGCAGCAGTATCTACATGAGGCACATGCAAAGCCATACTTGTATACCTAATGTATCTTTCAAATGTGGTTTTGCTGGATGCAGTAGAGTATTTTGTAAATTTTCAGCCTTTAAATGTCACATTTATCGCCATAAACAAAAACACAGGATTGATATGGGAAATGCTGCTGATTTAACATGAAAAGTTGACTTCTGTAGTGCCAAGTGTGAGGATCTACGAAGTCTTTTCTCCCATCTGAAATCTCATATTAAAGAAGGTAAGTCTGTTTCATGCCCTTTCCAACAATGCAAGCAAACATTTACAGTTAAGTCTACATTTACTTCACATATGTCAAGAAAGCATAAAGATTGTAGTGAAGAAAGTCTGATGGTCTCAGTTGCAGCTTCAGCAAATCCAAGCAGTTCATTTGAAAGTGATGATGAGCACCATGAACCAGAGCTAAATGTTCCCAGTCAATTCAGCTCTGAACAAGAGATTTTTCCACAGGATACAGACAACAGCCAATTTTTGAGAAACTTAACTTTGTTTTATCTGAAATTGAAAGCAAAACTGCTTTTACCTTCTCCTACTGTTAACACTATCATTGAAGACTATCAAGAAATATATGCCATAAATCAGTCACATCTGCTTTTTAAACTAAATGAAAAGTTGGTCTCTCTTGGGCTTCCAGAAGCAGATGTAGACACTGTGATAGATAGCTTAAAAAGTGAGGATCTTTTGACAGCTTGCAATACCCAGACACTTCAAACAGATCACCGGAGAAAAACTGTTTTTAAAAATAGCTTCAATTATGTTGATTCTGTCCCCATCTGTCTTGGCCAGAATGAGTCAGGCAAAGAATGCTTTGCACAGTATGTTCCTGTGAAGAACACCATTGAGTGTCTCTTGCAGTGTCAGTCAGTGTGGGAGCAATACAATAAAGTAAAAACTACCACAAGAACTGATGAAGTGCTTCATGATGTGTGGGATGGCACAAATATTAAAGGAAACATGCTGTTCAACAATACAGCATCTCCATTGAGTGTCATTCTTTAACAGGATTCTTTTGAGGTAGTAAACCCTCTAGGATCTGGGAGGAAGAAGCACAAGATTTTAGCAGTGTATATGACACTTGCAAATATTCTGCCACACAACAGATCTAGCATTGATCAGATGCAGCTGGTGCTACTTTGTCAAGAGCAAGATTTTAAGTATTTTGGCCAAGATCTTGTGCTTGGCTTTCTTGTGAAAGACTTAAAAGATATTGAAGCAATAAAAAAGGCCAATAGGATGTTGGGGTATATCTCCAGGTGTGTGGAGTTTAAGTCAAGGGAGGTAATGCTAAGATTATACAATTCCTTGGTGAGACCTCACCTAGAATATTGTGTGCAGGTTTGGTCACCATATCTTAAAAAGGACGTTGTGGTCTTAGAAAAGGTGCAGCGTAGGGCCACAAGAATGATTCCTGATCTTAGAGGAATGTCATACGAGGAGAGGTTAGCTGAGCTGAATCTGTTTAGCCTTGAGCAAAGGAGACTAAGGGGGGACATGATGCTGTTCAGCCAAATGGCTATTTCAATATTAGTTCAAATACAAGAACTCGTGGCCATAGGTGGAAATTAGCGGGAGAACATTTCAAACTGGATTTAAGGAAGCACTTCTTTACACAGCGCGTAGTCAGAGTATGGAATAGTCTTCCTGATAACATAGTGCAAGCTGAATCATTGGGTTCATTTAAATCAGAGCTAGATAAGATTTTAACAACTCTGAGCTATTAGTTAAGTTCTCCCCAAGTAAGCTCGATGGGCTGAATGGCCTCCTCTCGTTTGTATAGTTCTTATGTTCTTATGATTGATTTTTACCCACTACCAGAATATTTGGTTTGGGGTATATCACTGCTAATACTTCACCATTCTGTGCATGCATTTCAGATCAAAGTCATACTATAAAGGAGATCATCATGAAGGCTTTGTCTAATCTGTCTGCGGACACTCAGGACAGGCTTGTTTTGACACTTGAGAATTCTGGGGTTGAGTCTATAGATGATCTTAAATATGTCCAGCAAGAGGACATCAGAGACCTGCTGCCTGTTATCCAACAAAGAAAACTGCTGGAAACATTCAAGTTAGGTAATTACTGCTAATGCTTTATTACCTGTTATATCTAGTTAACTATGCAGTATGTTGACAGTAACTTTATTGTGTCAGATCTTCAGACGCAAACAGCAGTAATATAAAATATACACACATAATAATTGTGATTGTAATTGATTGATATCAAACTTGTTTTCTAAAGATGTATAAATGATTGGCATCATTTTGGGACATGTCTATACTTAATGCAATGTTAGTACTGTTTTTGTGCTAGCGGAAAAATTGACTGTTAAAATGTTGTGCAGGAAAGGTAGTTAAAAAAAATCCTTGTGATAGCAAAGGCCAGTGCTTTGATTCTACTCTTTTTCTTAAACACAAGTTCACAGTTTTTCAAGTTTATCCTAAAGCAACATTTATATGTTCATATGTACAATGAAACACTTTTTACAAGCTGTAAACATTTCTCCTTGTCATGCTGGCTACAAAGAGATCATTTCTTAAAACAGTTTCAAATTTAAGTGAAGGTGACAAAATCCACAGTCCCTTTTTCAAATCTTAAAATTTCAGCAACTACAAATATTCTAATTAAAATAAATATTACAATTTATAATATTTGTAAAAATGTAAAATTGTATTGTAAAAAATGTGAACTTATCTTAAGGTAGGACTTAGGTACTAGATTTAGCTGGTGACTGGTGTATTTTTAATAGTCAATTGACTGAAACTGATTCCTAGTTTTTCTAATAGTAATTTGTAGTCATGCAGCACAAATGATTCATGGTTAATAAATGTTTTACTTATACTAAATCATATAAACCTTCTTTTTTTGTTCAGAAACTAGCATAATCACAGTGGAGCCCCAGCCATTGCCAAGTGACTCAAACTATCTATCCCCTTGCTCTGGTCATTCATCTGCTTCCATATCTTCCCTGTCCAGCATTTCATCCCTTTCAAGCCCTTCATCAGAGCCACCAGTGCATAATGATCTAAGCAGGGCTGGTTCACCAAGCATACCCAAAACATGGGCTGAAACATTTCAAATCCCATGGGAAAAGATGCCAAAGGAAATCTAGACAGCCATTTCAAGTGGCACAAGACCTTCTCCTGATAAGAGGCGGCAGATGATATGAATCCTTGCAGATGAAGTTAGAAAGTATGAGTCTAATCCCACTCATTCACAGTGTTTAATAATCTGTCAGAAGATAACTCGTCAGTACCCAAATTCCTTTGCCGATATGACACCAAGCAGAAAAGTCATCGCTGGAGGGTTTAATTCACTCTTGTCTCAACTCAAAACCCGAATTGAAAACATGAACCGCTATGGGAGCTTCCAAAGGTACAGATCATCAGGACCTTGTGGATTAGTTGGATTCAAGCGGGGACCGACTGACTCATTTGGATGTACCAGGTTCCAGCCAGAACTCCCTCCAGAAGAAACTGAAGAGACAGTGGAGTAGAAGCACCAAAGACTACTCTGCATACACAGCCAGAATGGCATTCATGTAGAAGAGCAGGCAGAAGTGGCGGATCTCATGAAGACCACATTCCATCTTCGGCGTAGACATATAAATGAGATTCCAACACCTTCTGTAGCCAATTTGAAAATAAAGTGGCCTTACCTTTTTACGCAAAAGGGATTATTTTCTCATTTTGACCGATGTGCCTGTCCTCCGTGCCTTGGAGCTAGCGATTATGGAATGCGGAA